TAATTCAACAGTATCAGGTAATTAATAATTTTATAATTTTTTTAAATGATATAGTCCATTATATTTATATTAATAATCTCTTGTATATAGATAAACTCTCGAACGATGATTTACCCTCTAATGATAATTTGTTCTCTAATGATCGCTTTGATATTATGGATATTAAGTATGAATTTTTAAAATTTAAATATACTTGTTATTAATTTATTTTAAATAATTTTAACTAATTTTCTATATTTAATAATTTTAAATAGTTCTAATAAAATAAATAAAAATTTAGGTGGCAAAAAAAATTCTAAAAAACATTTTTTAGATGAATCACTGCGAAAAAGTAATGATTTAAATTTATTATATGATAAAATTTTTTTACTATTTTTTTTTATTAATTTGCATTTTTTTTTTATAAAATAGATCATTTTAAACAAAAAAAAATTAAGTATTTCTATGAATGTCTTCGCAGTTTTTATAAATTACACTTTCATTAACGTATTATTATTAGAATTTTAAATAAGAAATTTGTTTAATATTTACGGGCTACGTTACATTTTATATTATTTAGTTATTTTTAGTTTTCCATTCTATATTACAATTTAGAATGCTAAATATTTAATTTAATTTAATTACTTTACTATTATTGCATTTTCCTTGTAGTCTCGATTGCAGATCAACAAGATCACGACATATAGTCGTTGTAAATATTTTTTGTAATATATATCATGGTCCCTTAAAATATATCATTAGTAGCATTCTAATATACCCAGTTATATTACTCGTAATATTTTACTCACTTGATATATAAGATTTCTTTACTTTTTATTATTATTTTTGTTGACATTACAATACTGTTGTATCTGACTTATATATTTGTACATGAACTTATTTTACCTGACACAAAAATCTCCTATTACAAATAATGTATCGATTTTATTATTTTTTACATCGCCCCAACTACAACACAAGGCTGGATACGTGCATCTTCTCAATAATATAAGAAGTGGCGAGTAGAATGTATTTATATTAATATGAAAAAATATTCGATTATTTGATGTGTAGCTATTCATGTGACATAAAGCACCCATGTGACTGTAATATAAAAATTATCTGCCGTGTGATCGGGAAGACAATCTACTCGATTTCAAACTCAGAAAACGAGTTAGAATTTCAACCTGGTATTAACGTGACTCGCTATAACTGGTAAATTCCCACCAAGAGTAGCTTGCATATTTCTCAACTTTACACCACTATATTAACTATACTGTTCAAATAAAAATGTCAACTTTGCATAGTGATTCCGATACACGAACACGAAGTATTAGCACAACGTCTTACAGAGGTGCGTAAATGTGATCAAAATTTATAAAGTTATGGTATTTATACGTATTTGTCAAAATAGCCACGTCTAGATCCATTTCCAACCCTATGTCTAGTTCCATTTCCAGCATTCCTAGTGTACATGAGACCGACGAACTGAAAAAGTTCCGTTATTATTGGTGGAAAACTGGTATAATGCACTCCAAGGCCAAATGGGATGAGGCAACGTAAGTCTTTCCTATTTACTTCAACAAGTTATTTTATGCGAGAATTGTTAATAAAAGCTGTTGTTTATTATCAAGATTACCATACGAACTTGCTTCTGATGTTTCGTATGATGCTTATGTTGAACAAACGGATAAGCACAATATCCATGGCTGGTGGGAATGGGAAAATGGTACGGTTCGTGTTGTTGAATTTCCTTCAGGATTCCTTGAAAGCTGTGTTGGTGCAATTGTTCAGGAAATTTATGATACAACAAGAAATGTAAAGGGTACATACGCAGACATTCTATCTCTCGGAGCTACAAGTGAGTGTTTGCTAGTTTTTTATAACTTCAAATATTTTTCCATTACTAACTATCTTCGGCTAAAAAGCAACAAGGTCACATGAATTCGCCAAAGAAGCGCACGCATCTTTTCGCCCAAATCAAAAACCTCATGTGAATGCGGGTGGATCTGACGGAGAGGTATGAATATTTAAGTTTATTTCTTAGTTATTGTTTTAAGTTTCTAGTGTGACAATGATTTCATATTTTTAGACACGACCTTGGCCAAATATTGTAGTAGAGGGTGCACACTCGCAATCTGTGGCATATCTTTTAAGTAAAGTCGAGAATTATTGGCTCAAACCTGGAAGAGCTCATGATGCAATTGCCATCAAAATAGAGCCAACTACCCCGCTATCAGTAATGACTGTAAGTAATGACAAGAGGATTTGATTCTTGTTGCTTTGGAACCTTCTGAATAAATTTATTCTTAATAGGCATGGCACTATTGTATAAATAATCGAACAAATATTGGTGCATTATCACCGTTAATAGTAAGTTATCTTATTATTCGTTAGCACAATTGAGTTAATTGAATAGAAAATTTAAGGTATCCTCCAATTTAGTACGAGTTTGGAATAACTGACAGGCAAGG